GACCTTCGTCCCTTCAAGGCTAGGCCTATACCATCCTAGCTAGTCTAGGCCTAGAGTGCTAGCGCGAACATGCGGACGTTGGTACGAGTAGGTTAGTCTACAAACGTCGCCTAAAGTAATTGATTTTACCCGGCAAAACGAAAGAAGGAAACTCCGCTTTTCAGTTGTCTTAGGCACTTGTTTTTTGACAAACAATGACCTTTCAGAGGTCAAATTGCTGTCAAGAATATGAATTGGCTGCTTCGCAGCAATTACTGTACTTTTTAAAATTTTGAAATTGGAAACTATTAATGCTATTAAATGGACAAATAAAATAAAACATTACATATCATTTATATGTTAGGTACAAGTGTGAAGACTGGCTAGCATGTGTATTATGTCACTTGCTATAGTTATTAATAACATTAATGCTACTTTTACATTTACGATCTTATCCAGTCTAGCCCTAGTCAACTGACAAATGCGGTCCTTTTGTAAAGCAGAGTTGGGTCTGGCTGTGCCAGATCGATGCGACTGATGGTGGACAGTAATTGATTACTCCCGTTTAAAACTGATTACATCTCAAATGAAAGCGAAGATAGTGTAGTCTAGTGTATTAAGTTACCTTTTCAACACTGCCTCAGGTTGTAGTGAAATGTAGGTCAACTACTGAGCTAACCTTGACCTTTTAGTGCTAGTCTGTCTGGTCAGGAGATGTGATCAGCATTTTCAATAGCCATTCATCATCAAACAATCTGTTTTTAAATATGACTGGCTAAGTCTGTCGTTTAGACTCCGATGAGAAAGCACAGAAGGAAAGGTAAAAATGAATTTAGTTTTTTTTGGGTTAAGAGGCAAGTACAAATTACTTTATGATTATTTCCCACGAGATTCTTGGCTCGGATGTTAAATAAAATCAAATATAACGTATGGAATATAATCACATTAATACCAAATCTGTGGATTTAACTGTATGATAAAATTAGAACCTAAAATTATTTATTGATACAACAAAATTTTTGAAAGTAAATATGTAATCTTGTTTGGACTAGTTTTTTAATGGACAATTTATATCTAGGCCTATTTGTGGACTACCATCACAAGTTCTTAAAAGAACAATGACTTTAAATTTTAACTTTAATATTTTTATTACTATTATTAATATTAATGTACTATTATTTTAAAATGACATATTATTATCAATAACATTATAATATATATATATATATAAAAATATATATAATAAAAAGCAAATACGGAAAAGAAACGATTGCATACGTTGACATAATAGAGACATAAAATTTATTTAAGACGAATATTTCGGACACGCCTGTGTCCTTCCTCAGCGTTATACGTATGACTGAAAAAATACAGATCAGATGAATTAAAAACTGTAAGATATACGGCGAGATGAATTCTAAGATAAAAGGCACGCCATAGGAACAGAGAAGTAATAAACAGTCGGCAACATAAAAAAATGTTGGCGGTAAAAGGCCTATGAAAATAATTGAGCGGAATAAACAAAATGTCGGCAAAGTAATCAGCGTGTACACTGTAATCGAAACAGCGGCAGTGGGCTTAAATAAATGATAAAGGTATATTAAAAGAAATATATAATATTGTTATAATATAAAACTATTAAAACTATAATGCTAATTAAAGTAATATAATGATCATCATATCAAAATATATTATATAGTACATATTATATATTTTTATTACTATTACTATTAATGTTTTATTATTTTTAAATTTTACCATTCTAATTTTATGTTCTGGAATGACTTATTATCAATGATATAATATAATACATATATTTTATATATAGGCCTATATTATTATTATTATTATATGAATTATTTTTAAATTTTACCACTATTATTTTATATAGATTTTGGAATGACTTATTATTATCAATAATTAATATTATATATATTATACAAGCATATTATATAATATTTTTATTACTATTATTATTAAATAAACTATTATTTTTATTTTTAAAATTATTTTATATAGATTTTGGAATGACAATTATCATTATATCACTTGTGTAACATTATAAAATCAAACCACTACTATTTATAATTACAATTTCAATATTTGTATTATTCACCAATTTTGACATTTATAAATATATGAGTAGGTGTGGTTTACTTTCTCTTATCATATAACATTCAATAAACTTTCCGAGTAACACGCAGATGACCGCCTTGATAGGTTATTTGGAACCAACCTGCTGGGATTTCACAGAAATACTCAAATGCCCTAACCTATCTCTAAAGAGAAAACTGACAAAATTATAGGTTGTTGCCCTAGTTACTAGTAGAAATACTGCACTCCACTGACACTATGCACAAACATGCGAAAACACATTAAAAGTTACTGTTATTAAAATAAATATAGTTGTTTTACTACTTACTGAATTATTTACAAAATCTTTGAAGACCTCGATAAAATATGTATTTCTACTAGTAATGTACTATTGTTCATGATTGTAATCAATCATTACAAGAAGAGGTTTACAATATAAAGATTAATTTAGGATGACTTTTTTGACTGTCCATATCTAAAATCAATATCACATTATTTACTGTAGACTATAACTATAACTGGTATTACGAGTTGATTGTTACAGAAACCTAAAAGACGTAGTGTAATCTAAAATGTAGGCCTACCAAAATGTAGACATGTAGTACCTGATATTGACTACCTACAGTAATATGATTCTTCCCAGCTCCTCCTTCGTGATTTTAATTCATGAATTTTAAACTAATTAATTTAAAGATGTACTGTACCTTGCAAAAAAAAAAAAAAATCATAAAAATCATTTTTAAAATTTACTTGCCCACTTTGAAGTAACATAAAAATTATCAACTTGAACATAGAAATTAGTGTATTTAAAAAATGCTTACCCATAAAAACCATCATTTTACAGCGAAAAAATGATAGAAACATTTACAGTCACTGGAAGTGTTTTATTATCTTTATTATAATTATCCAGTTAAAAAATCAGAACACATTTTTTTAATTTAATAATTTCTATGTTCAAGTTTATAAATTGTATGTTACTGCAAAATGAGCATGTTAATTTTAAAATAATTTTTATGATTTTTAAAGAGCTAAAAAATAATATAAATTTAAAGGGAGCTACAAATAAATCACAAAGTAATGATAGCCATCTTCAAAAAATTTAATCATAGTACCTGCACAATGTTAAACCCTGCCTAGGAAGGCATTTAAACCAACGTTCTCCTATCTTCTCTATTACCGCCGCTCGGCTTACTATACTATAATATGACACATTCTCTTCTCTGTTTATCCAAGCATTTAACAAAATACTTTTAATGGGTATGATTGTGTACAATAAAATGAAGTTAATCATCTCTTTGATACTTTTTAAATATAATAGACATGTGTTTGTTAAGATAATTTCGTCAAAAACCTAAATAGAGCTAGAGTGTTTCTCACATAACGAGAACTCCAAATAAACATAGAGGAAGCCTTACCTATTGTTTGATCAAACCACTTACTTTCGGTTATAATATTAGTTCCCGTTATCTATAAAACATTCACAGAAAAGTCCAAAGATCTATTGCAAAGTATTGAAGCCAGCTGCGGAAGTATATCTCTTTAAAATCAAACAGTTTATAATATATGTTGTGGCTAACGACAAGGTCTATGTAATACATATACACATATAAGCTTTCTGGTTGGTCTACCAGCCCCAAGGGAGGCGTGGCTATGTGATTGAATAGTCTGTTAACCCTGAACCTGAGTGACAGCCAATGTCTTGTGCTTATGCGATCATGTGCTCCATCAAGCATCTCTGTCTGACCGAATTACAACCGAAACATACTTTGTGACTCATTGTATTTTGGTGCTGGGAATGTTATTATGGGGAGCAGACAATAATTGTATATCTTTCTTTAAATAATATTAAGTTACTGTCTGTGATATTACGTGAAAGACCTTGGAAAAATAACATTAAGCACTGAATAACTTAAAAGATCCAAACAATTCAGTTTTCCTGATATATAGTCAACATACTATGGAAATCATTAAATTGATTACAAGTTAATTTTAGGCGTAATGCGAACAATAATAGGAACATTTATTAATTAATGAGAATAATACTTCCTCGTTCTAATTCTTAATTGAAAGCTTAAAATTAAACATACAGAACAATGCAAACATGGAGCTTATTGTCCAGGTTTAATATTATCAAAACATAGAAGATAAAAGTAATTTTTTTCAATGACTTGCAGACTGCCACAATAGCCTATTAGAAATAAACCTAATATAGTATTTCTACCAATAACAAAAATGCATTATTTATTTATTTACTTTTCATTTCTTTACTTAGCTGGCAACTACAGTAATTCATAATATGGCAAATAAATACTGTATTTGAACCTCTAAAAAAATGGAGTTGATAATAAGGTAGCTATGCTAATTACATTTTTAATATTAAATTTTGAATTGGCACTCGTGTCACAATTATGAAGATGAAATAAAAGTATATACAAACATTATCCAGTACCAGGATTACAAATTAAGCTTAAAATAATAGCCAGTTAATTTCTAATTCAAAACAACTTTCATAAGCAAGTGATAAATAATGGTCAATACAAAAATAACATTTTATTGTAAAAATTTATATGAACGTAAATTTCAAACATTATGATTAACAATAACAATAATAATAATAGGAATCACCATTTATTTATGAATGTAAGGCAAAAAAAAAAAAATTTTATTTAAAAAAAAAGGGGAGGGGGAGTAGGTAAAAACAAAGACGGCAAACAGATTGGCCAGTAAAATTCTGCGACGTCTCGACGGCGCACAAGTTCCAGTCTCCTAACCAATCAACTGATTATGATAATGATGATGATTGATCAGGAAAGATGCTATGAATGGTAAGCAAGTCTATGAAATTTATTACAAATATAACCTCAATATCTTAGTATGCAGTAATGATAATAGGGATATATATGATAAAATAAATAAGTGTAACGCACCTGTTAAATTGGAATAAAATTTACTATCTGTTTCGCTATCTTGTAATGTAGAGGGCGATGTTGACATAATACTGTTGTTAAATTTGGAAGTTGTACCATGCAGCAATGGACATCCTAGGTCACATATATGTTTTGAATCTGTAAAGAATAAACACAAAAATTTAATTATAATCATAAATCGCAGCACTTCTGCATTTCATGACAATCACCAATCTGTAGAAGAAAAATACATCGCTTTTTTTTGATTGGACAAAGTATATATGTAATCGATACTGTAATACAACTAATTAAATGAATATTAACTTGGCATACAAAGGAATTTTGTTGTTTTCATTTATGCCAAAACTTGGCGCTTACGGCTTAGGAAAAAAAGCATATTGTACAATCTTGAATATTCATAGGATCAAATAGCTAAAATGAAGATACGACATACCTAACAGTTTATTTATGGTTATTTATTTATTAATTGTTGTTAGTGAAGGATAAATATAAAAATAGATAGACATTACCCAAAGCAAAATAGCAAACTTACCATCTTTCTTACGAAAATTAAATATTGCAATTAATGAGCCCAGTAGACATTCCTGACTGTTGCCTACAAAAATAATCCTCACTTTATTGTTACTGGACTGTAAGTGAAACGGAGTTCTCCTACTACAGCAACTTTCACTTTTCAACTCAAGTCCAAATACGTCAGCAACTTTCGGTACGATTTCCGTTACACAGGGTTTTTCTAAAATCCCACTTAGTGGAAAAACGTTCAGTTCGGTAATGTTTATATCTATAACATGATGCTTTGGGGCCTTTATTCGGTAATGACAATGCCACGGCCCTTCTAGGCTTGCATTGCGAACTAGATTTATACTATCAGGTTTATCAAACGTCTTTGAACAATCTGAAAGAACAGAAATAAAAGAAGAGTTTAATGAAATATAACTGTGGGACAATGTTGTAAAGTTGTAAAGTGTAAATACCGTAAAATTCGAACTACATCCCCACGGTCTAAATACTCAGTTTTCAGACCGCATGAAATCTCACACAGTATTCAGACCACATGGAATTCAAGTATTCAGACCTCATGAAATCTCACAGGACTCATTCAAACCTTATGAGATCTTGCAGTATTTAAATGTTACAGTATTCAAATTTCAAAGTTTAGCACCTCAGGATACCACACAGTACAAATATCATGAAAATTTGCAGTACAGTATTGAAAAATTGTAGTAAAATCTCGCAATCAAAGGCTCATGGGAAAACCTCACAGCGTATCTCATGATATTTCTGTACTCATCCTCCAAAATCCCTTACTAAATATAGCCTTGAACTGAACATACTTCTGAGTAAAGGATTAGGCTTTATCTAAGTTGAACTGATGAGATAAAGACCTCTGAGGTTTTATATAAGGCAGAACAACACTATACGCCTCATTAAAGGTAACATACTTAATACAACTCAACAGGGTAGTTTGAAAAATAATCCTCCCAATAATGAACCATCACATTCATTTAAAAAATATCTGTCTGGTAAAATGTGAAAAATCATCATGATTCAAATACTGAACTACTCAATTAGGAGGGAAAATCAGGGGTCAAGTAAGACAATAAAACATTAAATCATAATTCAGTTTTTCAAGGATTTACAAACATTTTACTATAAAATCCTGAAAAGGGTATGTGAAATAATTAATATGCGTAATTATGTTGGAAAAATTTTTTTTGGCCAGCAATTAAACAATTGTTTATAGAGTTATTATTAAATAATCTATTCTTATTTGGAAGAACTTTTATTGAGGTTCGATGATAACATGTATCAAGTAGAACAAGTAAGCCCTAACAGGTTACAAATTGCATGAAAACATTGTTATTGTTACAAATAATTAAACAAAATGTTAAAAAATACAAGAAAAATGTGTCATTCTATTTTGCATAATGTTGGAATTCTTAGCCTTGAGGTGAGAAGTTCGAATCCATTGCGGTCCATTATCCTTCACTTAAACAAGGCACACTCTCTATATTATGGGTACCTGGTAAATGCTATGGTGTATGATGAACATATTTGGTCTGTGCTGAAAATTCACACATGACTAGAAAAAAATGCCCCAGGGAGCATACGAAGTCGCACAATGTGTATATTGTCAACGTTTCTCAATAATGCGCTATTAAATTGCTATATAAAATGCCAAACATTGTTATTACGTTATCTAAGGTAGGTGTTGGTGCATTGCATGGAAAGTGCAAGCCAATGCACTTTAATATTAACTAGGCCAATAAAAAATTCCAAATTAAAATATGCATACAATTGATAATTTCACATCAACAGTTGTGCATTGATTCCACACCATATTTTGTGGACATATCAAAAGCAAACATTTATACAATGCATACATTACTGAAATCTTCGATATAGTTAATGCAATTTGTTAATTAGTCAGGTTCCAATAATGTTGCAGCTGACAATGCGGCACAGAAAAAGCTAATTGTATTCGAGTGGTCTTTCATGTTGGCGTTACTCGTTGGATCAATCAGCCACTCTCAACACTCTGTTTACAGTGCAAACAAAATTCCAGACGCTGATATAGAGTAAACTGCTGCCGCTAATTCCAAGTTGGTAAACAGATAAATCACCTCACTTCCTTCCAACATGAAGCGGAGTAGTCGGACAAATTTTGGAAGCCAAACCATGCAACCTCTACGAATGAACGTTGCTTCAGATATTAATGAGAAACTGAACTAAATATCGTGATTTTTCAAGGTTGTTTTTTATATTTTTTAAAAATTATTTATTTCAATCGTCCAACAGGAACACTTTGTTCCCACCTACAGGCGAAAATTGCAAAAATAAACATCTAAAATATAATATTACAAGGTATAAAATTCAAATTTAAAACATAAAATAAATCATAAAAATCATTATTATTGTCATTATTAAATAGTGTTAATATGGAGACATTCATATTGCAATTAATAATAATTAATAATAAACAATATTCTTATTAAAATTATTGTAAATAATATCTAAAACTGTAAAGTTAAATCCTTACTGTAACTGTTTGAGAAAATTCTTGGAAATGATCCCCTACGAATAAACCTACCTAACTATATGGGTTTGGAATAAGGTTTCTATACTATTATGGTCGAGCGGATTAATACAAGTCTGGGATTTCTTTGTGACGTCTAGGTTGGAGGCATAGGCTTATTTGGAACTAGTACACTAGAACATTCTCCATAAACACCACCATGAACTTTCCTGATTTCAGGTGTCATGTGAAGGGGCTATAAAGAATATACAGACCCAATTGTAAAATACTGGCCTTTTTTTTCATTAGTTTGACTGATATGTGAACATTTATTGTTTGATTATGAGTCACAGTCGGTCAGTGATGGAGGTGGTAAGTGTTGGAATGGTGTGAACATTTTTGGTTTGCTTAAAATGCAGTACAATAGACCAGCACCATTAGCCTAGTAACATTCAATGGTTAGTTAGCTTAGCCTAGATGGCTTAACCTAGATAATTTTCAACTATGGATAATTAGGTCATCCTAATTACTATTCAAGCATATATACACATTTAAAAGAATAGACTGAGGCCTGCAGTGTTTGTCATCACAAACTAAAAATAAAATGAGACACTCTTCCAACATCCCTTGCTAATATCTGGTTCCATTAATCCTCTTTGGTACTATATGCAAAATTTCATGACTCGAATATTTATTGTTATTTATTATTGATTAATGTATAGTAATATCATAAGCTTAAGACCAGTACCAGCTGTTCCTTTGAAACAGAATTGCAGTCCATTCAAAGGTAGTGGAACAATGGATCATTCTGGAATGTCAATCAAACTAAACAACTGACCAATCAGAATGTGTTATTCAATGACAAGTAACACACGCATGTCCCACTATATAATATGGGGAATGTAAAAAAGAACTACAAGATGTTTCTTGTTAATTTAAAGCCAGACTGAGGAAACAGCTGAAGTTAATATTAAGTAACAATTTCTGTTTGTTGTGATGCAATTGCAATTTAAACTTTTGTTTTATTCAGCACAGCTTAATATTTATTAAAAAATTAAATAAAACCATAGAGATGAATTTTGAATTTTTTAACTCCAACACACATGCATACACAAGAAACAAATTGGTATTGAAGTACTTCGTTAGAATTCTACCTTTACCACAAACACTGCTATGTATCTGTTCATTATAATTCAAAATGAACATGATTCAGTACAGTTTTGAATGAGAAGACTTATCCAATATGATAAGTATCAACAAAAACTAATACAGTATTACATATTTACTAGAATTAACACAAAGAAAGGATGGTGGATGGATGAGTTCTATCGTCATAAAAAAAAAAATATCCGACTAACAAAAATATAAGCCAAAATAGAATATTGAGAAATATAAATGCAATGAATTAAGAAATATTATTTCTTCTGATTACCTTTAATTTTTCAAAAAAGAAACTTGAATATTCACACGATCTGAGATTCTAAACAACATGAAGTAATTATGTTGAATGAGGAAGTGGTCGACATGATGTTAGTCACGACAGACGACATGTGACAATCAACCTTAAAGCTACAGTCATCACATTAATGTGACATACATGCATCTACACATTAAGAAACGATACATCTTAAAGGTAGTCCGCACATTAAGCTACAATTAAAGCTACAATCATTACATTAATGTGATAAGCATCTACACATTCAGAAACGATGCATCTTAACGGTACAGTCAACACATTAAGCTACAATGCATCTTAAAGGTACAGTCAACATATTAAGGCACAATCAGGTATACTTGTCACATTAAGCTACAAACACACATGAAAGGCACATAACCAACATATTGATGATATATAAAAAACTATCAGACTCAAAAAAACTGTCATAAAAATACATTTAACAAAAATATAAAGCCAAAAAAAAAAAAAAAATTTAAAAATTTGAATACATGACTTTATCGACCACTTAAAAAAACCATACCAAAGACATTTCCCATTAAAAAAAAAAGATTAATAAATTGTGGACATTTACTTTGCAGACAATTCCACGAATAAAATTATCGAGCCGACACATGTGCTGCAATTCAGCGATTTGAGATAATCTTCCATTCCATCGGTAGTCTAGAATAGGTGCAAATCCTTTGTGAGTAATAATGAAAAATGAAAATGTCAGCATATAATAGAACAAATCCCGTTTATCTTTCAACTATGTACGTAGACACCTGTAATTATTCAGGAATGCTTAATGTATTTCCCCTGAAAAAACCCCTTCATATGATATCTTGATTGAAATCTGTCTGAATAACTTAAGCTAGAAACATATCTATTATCTGTGTTATAGGTAATTTCAAAGGATTATGGAAATAGCAAAATAGAAAGAGTTCAAAGAAAATGTTAAATTTCAATTACTATGAAGGAATTAGAACAAATACTTTTTCTAGGAACTACGCTGAAATCAACACCAACAGAAATGTGATTAAAAAAAAATTGAAAATTTTCAGAAAGGAATTCACAAAGATTGTTGTCTGAGGAATGATTTAAAAAAATTATAGTTGAAAAAACATCTTTTAAGCTTTGAGGTTAAAACATGCCTTTCACACTGTGTAACTTTTGTCCTGTGTTGTATGCAAATTCTTGGCCCTACCAAAAACCCTTCTTGAATAACTACAAATAATGTTATAAATATTCGAATAGTTTCAACTGGTTTGCTTAAAATTACAGTATATTTGATCAACTCCTTAAAACTGAAAGGCCGGGGGCCCCGGATTCAACCCCGACAGGAATAGAGCTGGCACCAGAGGGCGTTGTGTACACAATGCCAAAGCAACGGATGTTAGCTCACATAGCCTGACGAAGTCATGTTAATGAAATCGACAAAAGC